AATCAAATTCATAGAAATCGCCATGCAAGAGTTTTCTCAACAAGATGGCAAATTCTTGATAGTTTGAGTGTCATTGCCATTGTTTCCCCCAGATTCTTAGGGAGAGGGGTGTGTTTTTGAAACTCTCTGACTTTCTTATTGTGTGAAGAATGTTGCCAAAATGCTCCTTTGGAGAAACAAGACAAAGAGCCAAATATGGACATTATAACTGCAAAAATACAAAATATTAAAAAAAAAAAAGAGAGAGAGAGACAGAGAGAAAGAGAAGCATGAGTACTTCCAGGTCTAAACATTGGTGGAGGAGGGCCCCAATGGGGTTGAAGGTAAAGGCATCAAAACAGCATGCTGTCTACCAGGTTCCATGAGTAACCTGGTGTTTGTCTGTAGTACCTGGGCATCTTCTTCTATCCCTATCATGGAGGAAGTGGATATGTTGTTCGATACACTGGGAGTGGGGAGAGGGGAAAGAGAAAGGGCCTTGGTCAGCCCTCTGCACAAGCAGCAGTAATTTTTGTGTCAAATTTGTTTTGTTTAAAATTGTAAACAGCACCACTTAAAACAAAATATATCAGAAAAAAACAATTGATACACATTTTCCATGAATATAAAATGCAAACAATACAAAAATAGAAAATTGGCTTTTTGTGTGTATATATATATGTATATGTATGTATATACACACACACACGCACATATATATATGTATAAAAGGAGCTCTGGTAGTGTAGTGGTTACAAGTCAGGCTGTTAACCTCAAGGTTAGCAGTTCGAAAATACCAGTTGTTCCAGGGGAGAAAGATGAGGCTTTCTGTTCCACTCAAGATTTATAGCCTCGGAAACCCTATGTAGGGTCACTATGAGTCAGAACCGACTCCACGGCACACTGCCACCACCACGATATATATATATATAAACAACTTGGATGCAACATATGCATGGGTAAATGTGAAGTCTCCCCCGCAAGTGGGATTGGGGGTCTTGGATATGAAAAGTTGTTGGCATTGACACTGGTGGGTAAACCACTGGCAGCAGGACAAGGGATATGCACTCAGGCTCCTGGGGTGTGGAAAGCCACTTCTCTCCTAGGTACAGTATTGATGAAGGGAGGTTGGTCTTTATTGAAGCCTTTGAATCAGGAAACTTGTAGTCTGAAACACAAGTTGAGTCCAGACAGACAGGGCAGGCTTTAAATGGGTCACAAGGTAGGGCTTCCTTGAATACTCTAAAGCACCAAGAAACTGGCATTTCAGCCCTAAGAAATGTCTGTTAGGTGGCACTCTATACCCACATTCTCTACACCCCCACCCCCTCAGTGCCAAGGACCAGTCTCATCTGGAAATCCTCTGGATCAAAGTCATCTGACATTCGATAAGCCTGCTGGGTAGCAAGATGAGCACCTCCTCACAAGTCACACTTCCTCTTGAAGTCTCATTCAAAAGTTTATCTCAGAACCCTGGAATGGAGACATGGTGTTCTTCTGGTCAGTCTAGAGCACTCCCTCCTTTAATAGAAGGCAATAAATATGAAACCAATACCTTTAACAATACAGGGTATATGAGGGAGCTTCAAGATGCTCATGGAAAAATAGAATTAAAGGATAATGGGTTTATTTCCATTAACTTTTGAAGCTCCCCCTCCTATTTGGTACTAGCCAAGCTTATGTCTGGGAAATACCTGAAGCTTAGCTGGCTCTCCTAGTGTCTTTCTGACCTGCAATCACTGTATATACCCAGCCAAGTCTTCTTCACTCCTCTAGGTTGCAGCTGGTGTTTGGCCATAAACTTCTTAGATCTAAAGTGAAACTCAAGGAAGCTTGCTTCTATAGCCATGTACTCAGGACTACTCCACTTCTGGTGGTGAAAAACTTGTCCATAGTGGCCAGGGGAACTTGAGGGCAGCCGTACTATTTAAACCATGAAACTTCATTCAGCCAGGCCCTACTCTGTGGTTTGTGATCTTCCAAAGCCCAGCAAATTATATTAGGATTGTGATAGATCCACTCAGAGGCAATGCCTCTTACTGCCTTTCTACTCTTGATGGCAGCTGGGTCAAAGGATGGCCACCTACTTTTCTTTTCTCTTCTTTCAGTTTGTGCTAGAGGCTGGTGATGCCCTACTGCCTGATATGGCTGACACAGTCCATAAGCAGACAGGAGCTTGAGCTGCCTTGAAGGACGAGCAAAGACAGAGGAGGAAAGAGTGAGTTTTCCCCTGTTGTAAAGGCATTTGGTGAGTGTTTACTTCTTGCCAAACAGCCCCACTTTCACGGGGCAATTTTGGTTGGAGTTCAGATGGTTGGAATGTGGGCTTTCTTTTTCCCTGTAAAGTTGTGTTTGGGGTAAGGATGGACCATTATCACCCTCTTTCACTCTAGCTCTACGATGATACACTTTTTTGCAATATCAGCCACAGTCACCTGGAAGAGTTGGTTAGATTCCTTTGAGGGGTGGTATTGATGCTAGTAGTGCAGCTTTTCTAACCAAGTCTGTTTTTGGGGAGGAATGGCACTGAGCCAACTCTGATCTGAGAAATGATGGCAAAGACGAGTTTGGACACAACTCCTGGTTGTCCACAAAGTCATGTTGACCCAGGAGGCCAACAATATCTGTTCCCAAGCTAAGTTGCTCTGCCTCAGGAATGCAAAGAACTTTGTTGACCTATTCTTGACAGGAATGGAAATGGATATGGGATGTGGGCGCAACACATCTAGGAACAAAATTTTCCACATGCCATTTCCAATATTTAAAAAAATTAAAAAGAAATCCTCTCATATTGGTGATTAATGAGAGGTTGAGACTGGAAAGATTAAGGTTAATGCCTGTGGCAATAACTTCCTGAGAGTAAGATCTTCCTTACTGTTATTTCCAACTTAGCTTAATATGCAACTGCCATGAATTTCAGAGTCCTGTAGCTTGACCGAGTGAGGTCAAGCCAGTCTTTCTTTTCAAGAAGTCTGCTTCTTTAATGATGCTAAGGATTTGGCTAATTTAAAGATGAAACCTTTTAGAGAACCCGAATATCATCTGAGATGCTGTTGGTATCATGTCTCAGAAGAGATCCAAAAGTCATCAGGCCAAGCAAGTATGCAGCCCTATATAATGTACAAACAAAGGAGTGGGAAAGAGGTAGGGAGCTTTATGCTTGGCAGAGGGAAGTGGTGTTTTCTTCTAAAAACCTAAGTTGCCTTGAGCTCTGCAAAGTCTGAAATCTCTCCTGCTGGCTAGAACAAAGGGGCCTCCTTTTTTCTCTTTCCCCTTGTTGTTTCTGTGGCTAGTTGCTATAGATTAATGAGTAGAACCATGCTACATAGTTTCAAGATTGTGATTGTTGAGAATCAGATGGTCAGATTTGTCTTTCAAGATGCCTCTGGGTGGGTTCAAACTGCCAACCTTTTGGCTAGTAGTCGAGCATTTAGACATTTGTGCCACCCAGGAATTATATCTTCCAAAAGCTCCAGCCCTACTTCATTTAGTACCTCAATTAAAAGAATGAGTTCTTTGTGATAAGATTATGAAAACTTCCTTTGGAGGAAAAAAAGAACCAAAATTCAAAATTCAGGCAGTCACAGGCTTAAAAGAAGAATAAGGAATTAATCTTATCATTCCAGAGTTCAAGTCTCTATGGCATTGTTGTTGTTGTTGTCAGATGCCATCGAGCCGAAACAGACTCATAGCGACCCCATGCACAGCAGAACGAAACAATGTTCGATCCTGGGCCAACCTCACTACCACTGCCACACTTGAGTCCATCAATGATGCCACCTGGCCGATCCATCTCGTTAGGGATCTTCCTCTTTTTCTCTGACCCTCCACCTTACCCAGCATGACATCCTTCTCCAGCGATTGTTTCCTCCGGACAGTATGTCCAAAGTAGGAGAGACGAAGCTTAGCCATCCTGGCCTCCAAGGAGCACTCTGGCTGCACTTCTTCCAAAACAGATCTATTGGTTCTTTTGGCAGTCCATGGCACTTTCAGTATTCTCCTCCATGTCAAAACCTTGAGTAGTCTTATGTTTGCAATTGGAAGAATTTGATCACTATACTGAGGAGATTAGAGATTTTGTCTTCAACCTAAGCTATGATTGTTATCGAGGGCTCTCAAGTCAGTTCCAATTTATAGCGAGCTTGTATAGGGCTTCCAAGAGTGGCTGGTGGATTTGAATTGCTGACTTTGTGGTTAACAGTCCACTGCTTATCCTACAGAGCCACACCAGTAGGCTAAATTAAAATGTTTCCATGTGGTAATGATGGCAAAGTCCACAACAATAGGTGGTAGTGAAACACAAGCTACTTGATCCTCCCCTAACTTTGTCTTGTGTTGTTCTTAAGGGTCATCAAGTTGGTTCTGACTCATAATGACTCTGAATAGGGTTTTCAAGGAGTGGCTGGTGGATTTGAACCACCAACCTTGTAACTATCAGTCCAGTGCTTCTCCTACAGCACCACATCAGGATGTTTAACATAAACAGATCATAGGTATCTGATGCAGCTATGCCCAGGTCAAAAGGAATGGGGGTGGAGATAATCTGTATCATAAATTTTACAATAATAACAGCAAACAAGCCCCCCATCTAAATGGGAGCCAATGACTGTGCAAACCTGATTGCTCTTCAGTGGTCCATTGTATCCTGGGGGTTGGGTCGGGCAGGGCATCAAGGGTTCAGTCTATGTCAAGGATGCATGGTATATACATTATCCCTAACTCAGCAACTGTAATAGGTACAAAATTACAGCATCCCAAACCCTGACTGTTTTACAAAAAGAAACCCAAAGCAAAATCAAGAGTACAGCAGCAGCCTGTTTGGACAGATGTACCTAAGTCAAACATGGCCACAGAAGGCAGAAGTGGGGAGTGGGAAAACAGCAAAAACTCACAGGAGCTTTCCTTAGCCAAAAGGATTTTCAATTTAAATAGAAATTCCCACCGACCCACCCTTCTGCCCAACCCTGAAGCCCACATGCTTAGGTCCCATATCCCATCCCCCACTCTGGAACTGACGATGATTACTTAGCTAGGTTTCCATTCACAACAGTGGAGGAGTATGCTATGGAGAGGGAGGCATCCTGCTTGGCCCTCTCCTTTGATAGGTCAAGAGTGGAAGCCCCATAGTGAATGGACTGTGGCTCTGGGGACTCGGGCAGGATCCTGGGCAGCTGAGGGATGCCATGAGTAACACCCACAGGCTTGGCTTGGGGCAAAGGTTTGGAGCTGAAACCTCCAGAATTAGAGAAGCAATTGGACTCATCCATAGGCAGCATCACATCTTGAGGCCTGACCCTCACATTTTGAGATATCTGTGATTGGGAGTTATAGCAAGGGCCCACAGGCAGGGGTAGGTGTGAAGGCCGAGCTAGCTGAACTCCAGATTCAAGGGGTGCCCTTGGCTCTGACCCTGGTAGTGAAAGAGACATTGACATGGCAACAGGAGGTACGCAACAGGCTGCCTGCCCATATGGAGACTGGTTGGAAGGCCCATCTAACTGGCTGGGGTTTATCCAGGCAGGACCTGGCCCTGCTGGGAGAGGAAAGGGGGCCCAGGTAAGCCAGTCATAGGCTCCTGGGGGCTCAGTATAAAGGGACAGGGGACTGTCTCGGCTGCATTCTCCTTCCTCCTCCTCTTCTTCATCTGAACCTTCTTGCTGGGCCTGAAGCTCATCAGACTCCATGTAGCCCTGGGCCAAGTGAGAACTAGAAAGCTCTAGATCTAGGTTCTCTGCAGTATCAAGAGAGCGGCTCCTCCTGTTGAGAGCCATGGCAGCAGGTGGAGGCCTAGGGTGCATCCCAGGCAATCCCAAGTATCGAGGAAGGCTACTCACACCCCAGGGCAGGCCTTGGTAGAATCGGCTGCGATAGTTGTTGAAGGTGGGTTTGTGGTAGTAGCCCATTGTGAAAGCTTCCAAGGAGGCTGCAAGGTCTTCATCATTATGGAACTCGGGATTCTCTTCACACTCACCTTCCCCATCCCGTTCCACATCAGCAATGTCAAAGGTCACCATCGGGGGAAGCTCGGGGAGGTTTTGAGTGAAGGATGAGTCAGAATCAGAGCTGCAGGACATACTAGAGAAGAGGTTCCCATTGCTAGTGAACTCTACCAGGGCTTGGGAAAAACTCACAGTGGCATTCTCTTCCTTTTCAACCTCCTCTTCCTCTGTTTCCTCAGGGGGTGAATAAGTCGGATAGGCCCTCCTTGGGGACCCTCCAAAATTTGCTTCTTGCATGTCTGGCTCAAACATAGCATTGCTCTGGAAGAGCTGCATCAGACAGGTACGTTGATCTTTTGTGGAGCAAGTTCCTTCAAAACGCTTTTCCAAAGGACGAAAATCCCTCCAGTCTGGCTCACTGCTTGTAACAGCAGGGAAAAGTGAAGTGGCACCATGGTGGGAAGTCTGAGAGTCCCCTGATGCCCCTGCCACTAGGCCCATCACTGATGGGCCTAAGGGCCTCATCTGATACTCCATGATGGTCTTCTCCTGCCGAACCTCGGTCTCTTGGGCTTGGATCTCTTGAGAATGGGATTCATGGTCACAGGCCTCCCTGGCATGGACTTCTTGGGCATGAGCCTCCCTGGCATAGGCCTCTTGGGCTAGGACCTCTCTGGCATGAGCTTCCCAAGTTTGAGTCTCTCGGGCAAAGACCTCCCTGGTTTGGGCCTGCCTGACATGAGTCTCTCGTGTCTCTTGGGCCTCAAGCTGCTCCCGCCGAAGCTCCCAATACAACAACTGCTTCTGAATGGTCACTAGTCGTTCCTCCTCTGTCTCCATTGCCCCAGGTGGACGGGAGGAAGAAAAGGGCTTGAAGTCCAAGAAAGGGTCAAACATTTCAGAGCTGCAACCATGGATGTCATAAAGGAAGTCATCTTCAGGTGGGGAATTCTCAAGACTGTCATCTAATTCATAGAACTCATAAAGGGCATCTCCACTGTAACTGTCTCTGGGCAGGTAATCCCTGTGGACTAGCCCCAGGATCTCACCTGAATCATCTTCAAATCCAGGTGTAGTGGAGTCATAATAACCTTCATCACTATTGGGGGCAGACTCTTGCTGGTCACTCTGAGGAGTCAAAAGATCCCCAGAGGCTAGGCCTGGATAAGACCGACCTGGATCAAGGAGCATGTAGCTGTGGTGGCCTGGGGATGTGGTGGGATGGTAATCCAGATTCAAGTTGGGCCTTGAGTACATCTCGGCATTTGCCCACAGGTATTCTAAATCATCATCTTCTCTCACTTCCTCTTCTAATTCCACCTCCTCATCCTCTTCTTCCTCTTCCTCATCATCATCTGGCAAGGCCATCTCCTCCCCACCTCCTTGGTAAGTCACCAAGCAAGAACTTCGTTTGGTCCCATCTCGGTTGGCCCTCTGGCCCCCAGAGGCCATGCTATCTGTCATGCTGTCCATGTCTTGCTCAGCTATGATGTCCCCACAACCTGTCAGTGAGTCAAAGCTTTTCAAGGATGTGACATCTCCAAACAAGAGGCTCAGCTGATCTCCTACAGGGACACTGGGTAGATTTACCACTCCTGATACCACCTTATCCCCTGTTTCTGAACCATGGGGCTCCTCAGGACCATTATTATCAGTGATAGGTTTGAGCTGCAGTAGTGCTGAAGCACAGACTTCCATGGGTTTTTCTGGATGTTTACAGGTTGTCTTCTCAGCAAGTGATGGAGAAGGCTGTGGTGCTGGGGAAACTTTTGACTTACAGGAATCCTGAGACTCTTCTTTCCTTGAGGTTTGGAGGGTCTCCTCAGAGTGGAGCAGAGGGGCTGAGCTCACATGCTCAGGAGGTCTGGCTCTGGCCTCTTCAGGCACCTTGACTCCTGGCTCAATTTGTTCAGTCCCAGTGACCTTGCCCTTCCGATGATGGCGGATACTGCTGAAAAAGCCTTTCAGGCCTTTCTTTGGCTTGAGCATATAGGGACCCTTCTCAGCCTCAGCCTTCTCTGTGACTCCAGGTACAGACATTTTGCATCTGGAGCCTGTCTCCAAAGCTTCATGGGCACTCTGAGAACTGGGAAATTTGTAGGGTGATTCAGACGAAGATGGAGTGAAGTTAGTTCCCTCACTGGCAACATCTTCAGGGCCACAGACTGCCTCATTCAATCCATCATGGGTTTTACTCTTGCTGAGACCCTTCCTGGAGCTGCCTTTCCCAAAACCTTTGCTTCGTCCCCCCCAAAAAATACTAGGAAGGGTACAGATGCCCTTTCTGCCACCAAAGAGTTTCATAGCAGTTTTCTTCAGCCTACCTGGGCCAGATGAGGGTACCTCTGACACCAGCCCTTCCTTTGCCTCTGCTGCCTTTTTCTTGGCTCCTTTCGCTGCTCCTTGTGCCTGGGTGTTCCCTAAAGCTGCCACTCCCTTGTCCTGAGCAGCTTCATCCTTTTGGGTCTCCATTGTGATGGTGTCAACTCAGGTACTTTTTGGAAATGCAGCTTCAGGCTTCTAGGCACTCTTATCATCAGTCAGGAAGCACCATAGTTGAATCTGGAGGACATGAGAGACACAAAGACAGAGAGATAGGTACTAGTGAGCAAGCATCCAGGCTGGGTTGATTTTCACAGGTATCTATGGTCTCAAGCTTGAGTGAAACCAGAGAGATAGTATGGAAAAATTGGTAGAAATCTTAAGCTATCCTATATGGTTGGCTTACTGGGAAGTCTTCCTCTAGGATCCAAGACAGTGAAACTATACAGTAAGCAGTAGGTAGCCATCACCCCATTTCTTTACTGGGACCCCTCTTTCCTGGCCATTTTAAGCTCTGGGAGCACTGTGCAGGAGAGGGGAAACAGAAGATGTATGAAAGGTCCAGTGGTATTAATAGGTGTGGGAGGGATTATTGAAGGGAAAAATTAGTGCTGTGTATCAGCACTGGACTGTGAACCACAAGGTTAGCAGTTCAAACCCACCAGCTGCTCCTTGGAAACCCTATATACATGGTCGCTATGAGTCACAACTGACTTGACAACACTTAAAAATAACAACAGGGAAGACTTGAGACAGGTATCTTCTGACTTCACAGAATTTTTTAAAACCATCTATTAAAACAACCTACTTAATCCTCACTGGCCTCTGCCAGCTCGAGGCCTCAATTTCAGATTTTTCTGGGATTTTGTTGACATTTTTCAAGGGCTACAAAGAAAAGTAGCGTAGTGGTTACGAATCGGGCTGCGAACCTTAAGGTCAGCGGTTCGAAACTACCAGCCGCTCCGCGGGAGAAAGATGAGGCTTTCTACTCCCGTAAAGATTTACACCCTCAGAAACCCTGTACAGGGTCGCTATGGGTCGGAACCGACTCGACGGCACTTAACAACAACAACAACAACAAAGAAAAGTCAGTGTGATATTCCATCTCTTCACCAAGGGCCCTCTAAATTGTCAGGACCATGTTAAGACCTTTAGAACCCCAGAGTAAAAATCTTACACTCCTGGGCAGCAACTGAGGATAATATAAAGTGGAAGTTGTAGCCTCAGACAAGGCACTAAGCCTCTCAGGACTTCAGTCTCCCCCACCCCAATATCTCTCCCTCTTAAGGTTATGTAATGTCAGACTTTCAGTTGACTGTCCTGTTGGGAAGGGACTTTAATGCTTCTCTCCACAACCAGACCCCCCAATTTTCACTTTAGAACCATGAGACTGGCTATTTCTCTTCCACTGCCCTTGGTATTTTCGTTCCCATGTGGCTCCCTATTCGACAGGGAACTTCTTGAAGTCAGGGTTCTGCCCTGGGAGATTGTCTCTGGATGTTGTTGTTGTTGTTGTTATGTGCCGTGGAGTCGATTTCGACTCATAGTGACCCTACACAGGGTTTCCGAGGCTGTAAATCTTTACAGGAGCAGACCGCCTCATCTTTCTCCCACGGAACGCTGGTAGTTTCGAACTGCTGACCTTGCGGCTCACAGCCCGATTCGTAACCACTATGCTACCAGAGTCTCTGGATAGATATTTAAATAACTTAACCTGATACAAGAAACACTAACCTTCCAAACATCCAAATGTCATATAGATGAAATAAACAGAAGTGTTACCCACCACCTACTCTAACACATGCCCCATACCTAAATCTGATGTATTCCAATGATGTACTCCAACTGGTTCAGAGACTACTTAGGGAGTCACTTAGCACTGTACAACCTCTCTGTAACGTATCCATCAGCAGACAGAGGGAATTAGGGTGATGAGGGGAGGCAGAACATTTGTTAGGCGCCAGAGAGAGGCAAGAAATCTTATGGTACCTGTAGCAGATGACAAGCCTTGTGATTCCTTGCCATGATAATAAAACAGAAGACATTCACCTACAGTGGAAGACTGGACATGCTGGCAGCTATACTCTAACCTCTGGGGTCATTAGAGGAGCTCCTACTGAAGCCACTGGTCCTCTTTTGCAAACATAAATTTTATGCTTGATCCTTTGCTTGACACTTGAATCACAAGTGAGATCCAAGCATCCATCAAGAACATTCTGTAGGTACTGAACTCAGAATTGCAGGAGACTAAGAAGGAGGAAGAAAGCCTTAGCTTGCTTTAAGGGAGTTAATAGCCTATAATGAGAGAAGGCACAACATGAAGCCGGCTTTTAAAAAAATAGACCTGTTATTTCTTAAGCTGAGTGATGGGATATCATTCTTTATCTTATTAACATATCTCAGGATGAATTTGAAAGGAAGAAATACATCATCCCATTGCCTTGAAGAGAGAACATTCAATCTAGACCACAATAGACAGAAAAGAGTGAAAATGGCAGTGTTTTAAGGGAGAAAATGAATGAGATTAGTTAAGTATGCCTAGCTATCCAGGAAAATCCTAGGGCCAAACAGACAAAGCTGACTTGTCCTGCTGGGTATGAAGATGGAGTTCCTGGAAAAAGAGGGACTAGGTAAATGGAATCACAGAGAGTTGTTTTAAGAGCCATGATGACCTAAATAGAAGGAAGTTCCTTTGGAAGGAGCGGTAGAACAGAGAGCAGGGGTCCAAGACATGCCAGCCAATCTGTTAAAGGATACTGAACAGGGCATTTCTTTGAGTCTTGGTACTTGTGAAATAAACATTGAACTATAAGCCCCCAACTCCCTAGCCTATGTAGTATGGTGAGGATAAGATGGGATGTTGCTGTTGTTAGTAAGTGTTGTCACGTAATCTCTGACTCATAGCGATCCTTTATAGGGTTTCCAAGGAGCAGCTGGTGGGTTTGAACTGCTAACCTTGTGGTTAGCAGTCCAGTGCTTATCCTAAAGTGACACAGCCAGGGCTCCAAGATGTGATGTTGTTGTTGGAAAATGTCATTGAGTCAGTTCCAACTCATAACGACCCTGTACAGGGTTTTTGAGGAGCAGCTGGTGAGTTTGAACTGCTGACCTTGCATTGTGATTCAAACTAACCTTGAAGTCAAGTGCTTATCCTATGGTGCCACACCATGATGTGATAATGGGCCCCAAAAGCTCTTTATAAACTGTAAAGTGTGGTGCAATTAGGAAAGATTGACGTTATTATTACTCCTTACATGGCAAATATCAGTTTCTTAGGAAGCAGCATTCCAAGTATAAAAAAGGCATTTAGCAAAGTCCTTCACTGCGTGAGCTTGAGCAACAGTTTGAGGGATCAGATGCCTTGACTCATACAGGGGTGAGGGAAGGTATCAGGTTTGAGGGGATTTTAAAGACACATGTGTGGATTTATACAATGTTCTCTGCTAAGGGAAGTTTTAAAAGCATCTCTGTGTATGTGGTGAGGATGAGGTGATTGAGGCATGGTTGTTTCCCTGATATAAAGATTCTCTCCCACAAACTTCAGGCTCTCCTCCTTCTAGGCAAAGGTCATTTCTGCTGGCAAAAACCAAACCTGAAACTGTGCTGTCTTCTAACCCTGCCACACTCCCGCCAGCCTTAGCTTTCCAATGGCTATGTCCCCCCACAACACTCATAGTGACTTTCTGTGTCTCCAAAGAGACTGGGAAGGAAGACAGTAGGGGCAACCCATGGCTAGTGGCCTCCTAGCCTGAATTCAACTAGCCACCTTTGGCATAGGTTCCTTGTCAACACTCCTTACTACCCCACCAGATACTCAAGCTGTTCATTCCCAATGGTGACAGGGATCAACTCTATTCCTCCCCCAGGCTGAGGTTGGCTTCCCTAATGACTTCTGCCAAGAATATGGCCCTGCCAAATCTAGAGTGCTTCAATCCCCAATTATAAACAGGACTCAGTTCTGTATAGCTGGGGAAAAGCCATCAAGTAATTTAACATTAGTTACCAAACTACTTCTGGTAGCGTAGTGGTTACGAATTGGGCTGTGAACCTCAAGGTCAGCAGCTCAAAACTACTAGCTGTTCCTCAGGAGAAAGATGAGGCTTTCTGCTCCCATAAAGATTTACAGCCTTGCAAACCCTGTATAGGGTTGCTATGAGTCGGAACCGACTCCACGGCACATAACACAACAGCCAAACTACTTCAGGCCTCAGTTTTCCCAAATGGTAAGTGTATCATCATCTCACAGGAGACTGTAAAGTTGCTCACTTAGTCAACTTTTTGATAGTCAGGAATCCACAATGTTGTCATGAGCCAGCTCCCGCAAACAGCTATAGATTTTCTAGGAATTCCAACTAATCAGTTTCCTTAGCCAGGCCAGAAAGGTTAAAAAAAAAAAAAAAAAATTAAACTCAGCTAAAAGTACCAACATCAAAGGAAATGTGAATCTACACATATCCTTTACCAACACCCTACCCATTTGTATTTCACAGCAGCCCTTTGATAAGTTTGGCTGCTGTTGTTAGGTGCCATTGAGTAGGTTCTGACTCATAGTGACCTTATGCACAACAGAACAATACACTATCCGGTCCTGTGCCATCCTCACAATTGTTGTTATGCTTGAGTCCATTGCTGCTACCACTGTGGAGAATGGTAACTCCTTGTCACAGAAAGGGAAATTGTGGGTTCAGGCTTGGGAAAAGACTTGACTAGAGATCACACAGTAGGATGGTGACAGAACCTCATAACTCTTAAGTGTAGTCTCAATTTCATGCCTTTCTGCTTCATTGTGTTGGTCCCCAATCAAATGAAAAAGATTGAGAGCAAGGACTGCACAGGTTCCTTGCAAATCTGTGAGAGCCATCACCTGTCCTTGCAATCCTACCCCTGTTTCATTGTATCTGATCCTTCTTTGCAGCATTTTCAGTCCTCACTGGCTGCAACTGTATTGGACCCACCCAGCACATCTTAGATAGCCCAGTCTATGGCTGCATTCCTCATCAGTAACCTCCTTCCCTCCATCACTCCCAAAGCATTGGAACAAGTCTTTTTCATGGGGGATAAGTTGGAATGGCCTAAAAAAATAAATAAATGAACTTCAAATAGAAACCTGCCAAGAGAATGCAGAAAGGTGCGAAATTTGAGCAATTATT